TGCTCGAAGCCTACAACGCGGCTGCGCTGCCCGTGCTCAAGGCCGACTTTTTCCGCTACCTCATCCTGCTGGCGCGCGGTGGCATCTACTCGGACATCGACACGTATGCCATTCGGTCTGCGCTCGACTGGGTTCCCGACCGCATCCCCACTACGTCCATTGGCCTCGTCATCGGCATCGAGGCCGACCCCGACCGCCCCGACTGGCACGACTGGTACAGTCGCAGGATTCAGTTTTGCCAGTGGACCATTCAGGCGAAGCCCGGCCACCCGGTGCTCCGCGACATTGTCGCGCGCATCACAGAGGAGACACTCAGGAGGGTCAAGGCGGGGCAGCTGTCCAAGGTCATGGATGACAACGTCGTCGAGTTTACCGGCCCGGCCGTGTGGACGGACACGGTGTTCGACTACCTCAATGACGCGCGATACTTCGACATGGCCCACTCCAAGGGCCCCATTGACTGGCGCAACTTTACGGGCATGGAGCAGTCGAAAAAGGTGGGCGACGTCGTCGTGTTGCCGATTACGAGCTTCAGCCCAGGCGTGCAGCAGATGGGGGCCAAAGACGACGACGATCCGATGGCGTTTGTGAAGCACGAGTTCGAAGGTATGTCATTCGCCGAGGTGTTTGTTCCGCGACCTCTTTTGCTGACTGCCTCGCAGGCACGTGGAAGCCCGAGGCGCTGCGTCACATTGGCGAAAACAACGATTAGCGGCCACGGCGCCCTGCCACGACGACACGACCTTGTTTCTTTTCCCGTTTTTTTTTTCCTGACTAGAGTGCCCATTTTGGTACATTGCATTACTACAACCCGGCGTTGGGACGTTTGGGTTGTCGGCCCATGGGCACGACTGGCTCGTCCCTCCCCCCCCCCCTCTCCCTGCGATGGCCCTCGCAGCGACGGAGTGCATCACTCGGAGGGCGGCAGGGCGATATCGCGCATAGATGTATTACTTCTACTTTCACATAGACGGTCTTGGTGGCTTTTGGGGTTTCAAAAGGTGGAGGAGGTAGAGGGAGCATAGCAGCACGTCCAGGAATTGAAGAGCAGGATGTTGTGTGGATGTGTTCTGAGTTGGCTCTCTTTGTATTATACCCAGTTGAAGGAGAGTCGGAGGAGAGGAATTGATCCGAGTAAATGTTCGTCTTATCATTGCTTTCGGCCGAGTGGCAGTGTTATGGTGGGTGTTGGAGACAGCAGCCGTGATCCGTGCCCTGTTTAGCTGCCTATAGGTGCATAGGGTCTAGGGGTACCTAGGTGAAGGTAGGTGGCCAGGGCCTAGGTAGTTGCTGAGGAGGCCAAAGGCGGCTAGGGACGGCAAGAGTACGTACCCCGCATTCTCTCCGCATCGTGCTTTCCCCGTCTTGGCGGATGCACCTCCCCGAGGCTCAACGCCAGCCAAGGTAAAGGCGGCTCTTGCCCGTCACTAGCCATGATCACCGCTCGTCAAATCAACGACATCAGCCTCCTCCTCTGCTTCTTTGCTTAGACGACCGTACAATTGCTTCTCATTCTCCCTGTTCCAGCTTCTTCCATCCTGGCTTTTCAACTCGATGCTCCCGAACGATACCACCGAGCTGTCCTAGTCTGCCGGCTTCATAGGGTGCCAGCAACCCCTCTTCTCCATAACATCCCACCTCCGCCTGCCCATCAGCCATGCTTCTGACCCCTTCACGATGCCTGCAGCGCAGCCCCAGGTCTCTAGAGAGACTGCTCAGACTCGGAGATCCGGCTTCGCGAAGATGTCTCTCCGCAATGAGGGACAGTCTCAGTCTTGGCCCTGACCAGGTAGGTTTCTCAGCGGGGGGGGGCCACCACAAGGGAGAATCTCAAGCTCTAACAATGGGCCAGCCTGCGTTGCTACCCCACACGATTCCGGAGCACTTCGCATCCATCGTTTCTCAGTTCGGCGACAGGCCAGCAGTCGTCGCTCGCTCGCCTACAGCAGTGGCACCAGACCTGCCCACTTCGGTGGCAGACTTTCGGGAGACGAGCCTCACCTATGAAGCCCTGGACCTGCTCTCCAATCGTCTCGCCAACAGCCTGCGCTCTCTCGGCGTCAAAAAAGGCGACCGTCTGGCCGTGAGCCTCGGGAACTGCAGCGAGTTCGCCGCCTTGACCTATGCCGCGTTCAAGCTCGGCGCCATCCTAGTCCCTCTTAATCCTGGCTTCAACGTCAAGCAGGTGACGGCTGGCCTTGACTTTCTCGGCGTCGAGGTGCTCATCATTGGAGCCGTTACAGACCTGGCTTATAAGCCGTGCCGCGGGCGAAGCAATGAGGAGTTGCTGCGGTCGCTCGTACCGAACCTCGAAGGGACCAAGGTTGAATCCCCCACCGTCCCGTCACTCAAGACGATTGTTGTTCTCGACAACACAACGTCTCATCCCCTCGTCAACTTTCCTCTCAAATCATACCGCGCCCTGACTCCTTTTGATCGTCTCATTGACGGTTCCCTCAACGCTATCACACCAGACGCGCCGCTGTCGGCGTCAGACACGATCAACATCCAGTTCACCTCGGGCACGACATCAACACCCAAGGCCGCCATGCTCACACACACGGGCATCCTCAACAACGGCGCGTTCATTGCTGGCCGCATGGGGCTCAACCCCTCCGACCGCATCGTCGTGCCACCGCCTCTCTTCCACTGCTTCGGCTGCATCCTCGGCTACATGGCCACAGCCACGACGGGTGCCGCCATCCTGTTTCCCTCCCCCGCCTTCGACCCCTCGGCAACACTGCGAACCGTCGCCGCTCACGACGCGACGGGCCTCTACGGCGTCGCCACCATGTTCATCGCCGTCCTCGACGCCCTGGCCGCCGGCGTCGTCGACCCCGCCGACCTCCCCCGCAATCTGACCAAGGGAATCGCAGCCGGCAGCTCCGTACCGGAGGCTCTTATGCGCCGCCTCTATGCAACCCTCGGCCTGCGCGACCTCGTCATCTGCTACGGCCAGACGGAGACGAGCCCCGTCAGCTGCATGACGCAGCCAGACGACCCCCTCGGACTGCGCACCACGACCGTCGGCCGCGCCATGCCCCACACCGCCGTCAAGGTTGTTGACCCCCTCGACCGCTCGCGCATCCTGCCGCGAGGCGAAAAGGGCGAGCTCGCCGCCGCCGGCTACCTCGTCATGCGCGGCTACTGGGGTGACGCCGCGCGCACGGCTGAGGACCGCATCGACGAGTCAGACGGCCGCACCTGGATGTACTCGGGCGACGAGGCGAGCATGGACGCCAACGGCTACGTCGCCATCACCGGACGCATCAAGGATCTCATCATCCGCGGCGGCGAGAACATCCACCCCCTCGAGGTCGAGAACTGCCTGCTGCAGCACCCGCTCGTCAGTGATGCGTCCGTCGTCGGCGTCCCTTGCGACAAGCTGGGCGAGAATGTTGCCGCGTTTGTCGTGCGCGCCAAGGCGGGGTCGGCGGGCGGAAAAGGAACTCACGGAGGATGATGTTTCGGAGCTGGTCCGGGAACACCTCTCTGGCCACCTCGTGCCGAAGCATGTGTTTTGGGTGGATGATTATCCCAAGACGGCGAGCGGTAGATTTAGAATTTAAATTGCGGACCAAGGCCCAGGAGCTGCTCGGGTTTGCTTAACCTGTTCGACTTCCAACTTTGCCACTCGTG